TACTGGATTACTGTAGGATTACTGTAGGCTTATGTGGCTGAACATCTTCAAATCGACAATGTCAACGCTTCATTCCGCAATGTCTTGTCATTCCGCATGACCAGGTTCGACACATACATTTACGTGGTGTACAGGCCCCCTTCATACTCAGCTGCTGACAATGACTGCCTCCAATCATTTCTCACAAGTAGCTGCATCGACAAGGAAGCCGTGCTCCTAGGCGATTTCAATCTCCCCACTATAGATTGGAGCTCACCTGACGACCCGACGAGACACGCCTCAGCATCTGACACCCGATTCAGCAACTTGTTCGATCTGCTCGGCTTGACGCAGTGGGTCACGGAGCCCACATTCCCACGCTCGGGGAACATTCTTGACTTGATCTTAACAAACGAGAACGATCGAATGGGGCTGGTGTCGGTCCAAGCTCCTCCTCCTGGCTGTGACCACTGCAGCATCCACTGTCAGTACTTCTTTGATGTTGAAATCGCATTGCAACACACCTCGCTCCATCACCTCTTATGGGAAAGAGGGAGATATGGAGACATGAATGCCATCTTGGCAGACATAGACTGGGATTTCGAATTCCAATTCCTCACTGCGCAAGAAGCACTCAAGCGATTGATGGACATCTTGTGCCCACTGATATCTCAACTGATACCAACTGCCAAGCAAGGAAAGGCTCGCCGGGTCCCATGGAAAACCAACCCACCTTCTTCGCTCAAACGTCGACGAGCATCCACCTGGTCAGCATACAAACAAGCCCGAGCATCCTACGGCAAGCAAGCGCCAACAACCCGATCACGACTGAATGATTTCTTAGGCGTAAATAAACAACTCCGCAACTTTGCCGTTCGCTCGCAGATCGACTACGAGAAGACTCTCTTGTCTAAGTTGAAGGAAAGCCCGAAACTGCTCCATGCCTATCTGCGCCACAAGAAACAATGCAGGTCATCAGTCGGACCGCTGAAGGCGCCTTCGGGATCGATCATCGACGACCCGAAGTCGATGGCAGATGTTTTTGTTGAGGCGTTTGCTGAAACGTTCTCCAATCAGGATCTACCCAACCCAGCTTCTCACCAGTCATGTGACGCGATACTTGAACATGTTGAGTTCACAGTAGAAGACGTCAGGACAATACTCTCCCAACTGTGCGTCAACTCCGCCATGGGGCCGGATGGTCTTCACCCTCATCTGCTAAAGGCTTGCGCTTCGAAGCTAGCACAACCACTGCACCGGATCTTCAAGCTGTCACTGTCAGAGGGAGTCTTGCCTGCTCTCTGGAAACTGTCACACGTTGTGCCCATCTACAAGAAGGGGTGTCGTCTCGACCCCCTTAACTATCGCCCAGTGAGCCTCCTATCAGTACCATCCAAGTGCCTGGAACGTCTGATCTATCGTGAACTGCGCGATTTCCTGACAGAAAACTCAATTCTTGCAGACGAACAGTTCGGATTCAGGTCGGGACGATCAACCGAAGACCAGCTTCTTCTCACTTATGACTATATATCAAAGCAGTGGGATGACGGGCACATCGTAGACCTGATTCTCTATGATTTCTCCAAGGCCTTTGACACAGTGAGCCATGTCGTCCTCATCGAGAAGCTCAGGTGCATCGGTCTTCGAGGAACCATTCTGACATGGCTGCAAGAATTCCTCACGAACCGTACCATGCGGGTGGTGGTGAAGAGCACCCTGAGCACCCCAAGAAGTGTGCGCAGTGGCGTGCCGCAAGGCTCCATCCTGGGACCAGCGCTCTTCCTTATCTATATAAACCATCTAGCGACCCAGCTCAGGTGCCAGTACAAGATTTTTGCGGACGACTTGAAGGTATACATGTGCATCACCAAACCTGAGATCGACATGTCGAATTTTCAGTCTGATGTCGACGTACTGCACACAACCGCATCATCATGGGGCCTGAGCATGAACCTGAAGAAATGCGCCGTCATGAGGTTCCAGAGACGATTCCATGCGCCGCTGAGACCCACCTATTTCTTGCAGGACGAACTGCTTCCCTGGACACACTCCCATGTGGATCTGGGAGTCACTGTCGATGACGACCTGAAGTTCCATGGGCAAGCAAGAGGTGCAGCAAGGAAGGCGGGTGGCGTTGCCCACAACTTTCTGAGAGCTACCCTCTGTAGAGAGCCGGACTTCATGGTTCATGTCCTCAGTACACATATACGCCCTGTCCTTGAGTACGCGTCGGTGGTGTGGAACACTGGTTTTGTTGAAGACTCTAAGAGACTCGAGGCAGTGCAAAGACTATGGACTCGTCACATCAGGGACCTGAAGGACAAGACCTACGAAGAGCGGCTCAGATCACTCAACCTGTACTCTGTCAAGGGACGCCTACTGCGGGCAGATCTGATAAAATGCTGGAAAATATTCAGAGGACGTTGTCCGATAAAACCGGCAGATCTCTGGGACATTGCAACCGACCATCGCACCCGAGGCAACATGTACAAGATCAAGACTCGTCGCTGTTAGCTCGATACCAGGGCGCGTTTCTTCTCGGAGAGAGTTGTCAGCGAATGGAACTCTCTACCCAATCAGGTCGTTAACTCGGAATCCATATCCGAATTCAAGACAAGCCTGGCAGAAGCTCTAGGCAGCCGACTGTTTGAATATGACGCATGAGGGCGTCACGGTGGAAGCTTCAAGCAAGTAGTCCACCATGTGAAGCTCATCGAGTCCAGGCAGACAACGAGCAATGTCTCAATTAAATCCTGTGTCACATTCCCGAATATCTGTTAGCAGACGCACTATTCCAGCTCTCACATGTACCTTACTCCATCTTACCGTGGGAGTATTGGCGCGTCTCTGATTCTTGGTTTCCTTCCCATCCCCATGCATTGGACGGGACGTGGAAACCTAACAGGTGAGTCTGTTGCGATGAAAGGCAATTAAGAAATCCTAAAAATATTACGTTTATCAGTATCGTAAGCCATAAATAAAAGTGTAAGTTCTAGCACATCCTTACCTTGGGAGGGTAAAGATTATACAATAATCTATCGAAACTGCAGGCACAAAACACGCAAATGGAAAAAAAACGCCTATATTGTTGCCAGCGGGACAAATGCATCAAACGCGCCAGCCTCGAAACGGAAATTTTGTCATTTCTACGGAGTAGAATGCTCACTAAACAGCTCCTGAACCTAGCGGACAATTTTTTTTTTACATTTGAACTCTGCTGGTTGAGTAAATTTGTTTACTAAATTCACAAAAATTATTTTAAATTACTTCAAAAATTGTTAAATATCATTTGTGAAAGTAAATGAAAAAATACAAATACAAAAAAGTAATGTCAAATAATCTTGAGAGGGTATAAATCAGTGGAATGGAATCAACTTCCGACACAATATAGAACTTCGATATGTTTTGATGTTTTATTTATGTCTGTGGTTATTTGATGGCCTTGGTTATTTGTGATTTGGGGTGAATAGGCGCTTGGGCTTTGTTGTGTAACAATTACGTTTTTCTGGTATTTTTGGTTGATAGTTGTTGTCGGCTTCTTATTGCTATTTCATTTGATTTGTGTGGCTGCATTGCCACCTCTCAAATCAAAATATGTGTGTTGCAGTTTGTGTTTTATCACCCATGTTCCAGTCTGCAAAACATGGCAGGGAGCTCGACAAGATTTTCGGGGCAGACAAAATCCTGCCCCGAATCAGAATGCTGAGTCCAGGGGCAGCCCAATTCCTGCCCCTAATGATGCAAATAATGTAACGATATAATGATGTCAATGTAGGAAGCAGTAAGAAGCTGAGAAAATCACTTCTGTGTCAATTTTTTAACTTCTGCACCAGATTTTCCTGTTTCTGCCCCAATCTTCCTGAAACCTGCCCCTATTTCTGCCCCAACCTGTGGTGTCTGCCCCGACGAGATCTCGTCGAAGCCTGCCACGTTTTGCAGACTGGCCCATGTTGACACTTGACAGTATCAGTGTTAGGTGTATTTTTTATTTACCCTAGCTAGGCTTAAGACATTGCACAGGGTAGGTAGGTATTTCACCTAAGGTATTGCTAGGATATGAACTCAAGGTAAAACCAAGGCTATATCAGTAGGTGGAACTAAGGTCAAGCGTGCCCATTTTTGGGAACGCAGTCTCGTTCCCATGTTTGGGAATGAAAAAACAAAATATGGGAACGCCATGTAGGCATTATTTAAAACAAGAAGAACCGTTAAATGACGTCAAAAATATAAAATGAACATGAACCTCAGTCCTCAACCGCCTGGTATCTCTGATATTGTAAAGCCCAGCATAGTTTCAAATCGTTCCCCTATTACTAAAGCAGTCCACCACCCGGACCGTGTGCCCAAATTTGGGAACGCTCTTACACTGGCACTGCAAGCATTCGTTATTGTGGGAACGGTGTACCCAAATTTGGGAACGATTTCACCGACGCCTTTCACGGGTAAGGGTTGCAGAATAATGGTTGCCGATGTGAAAACTGTACACAGGGATTTCTGGAGATAAAGAAATGGATGCACGGAGATGAAGAGGATAAGTTAGCCCCGCGTCTGATTGATGCCTCTCGGAAGTCGGATGACGAAGCTTCTACGTCATCCGGCCAATCCCGTGCAAGGTCGGTGGGGGGGGGGGGGTGGGGGGTGGGGCTCGGCTGCGGTTATGGAACGTGATTGGCCGGACGACGTAGAATCTTCGTCATCCGAAAGACATCGAACGCGGGGTAGATAAAACATGATATGGGAAGAATTGTGAAATGCTGATTTGCCGTTACGAAGAATGCGAGACCGAATATGAGAAGTGCAGAAGGAATAAAAATGATACGAGGAATGTATGGACAAAAATCTGCACCATGAAAATGAAGATAACACATTAGATTGTGTCAGTGCGGTGCCGGTTTCCTCTGGTTTCGTCTACATCTGCTGACGATCCTGGTGGGTCGGGCATGTTGTATAAATGCCTGCAGTCAACGGCTGCCGACAATAGAGTAACCTTGCCCATTTTGATCATTATCTCCCACCCTATGTTTGCCCCCAGCGTAGCAGTGTACCATGAACCCATTCCTGGAGTCAGAGGAGCCCCCTGGGGTCAGTGCCGCCGCTGCCGGCCCATCCACCGTCAGTGTCGCTCCGACAGCCACGTCGTCCGCAGCAGCCGACGACCCGCCGGCCATCTCCATAGACGAGATCGCCAAGAAGCTACTGCGCGAGAATTTCTACCTGACGGCGCTGGAGCTGCACCTGGAGCTGGCCGAGCTTGGCGCTGAGCTGCCACGGCTGCGCAGCTTCTTCAGCAACCCGGGCAACTTTGAGCGCCAGACGCCGTTCAAACCCGAACTCGGTGGACAGCTCCGTAAGTAAATTCTCTGGGGCTGCGGACGGTGCATCTATGGATGTATTCAGTGGTTTCTTGCCCTTTATTTTCTATGAGTAGTTTGGTTTCATTGACATCGGGGATTAAAAGCGCTATGTTCTAATATTCTGTATTTTTATTGGATGCATGGAAAGTTTTTTTTTTTTTTTTGCTTACATGCCCATTGTCCACACTTCGGATGCTCATTTATCAAATAGAATATAGATCGATCGAATTGCGTCAAACTCACATTTGAGGACGTATGGTTTGTGTTTGGAGCACCCATGACACTCATAACCAAGAGCTACCCCACAGCGTACTGATTTATTCTCGGTTTCACTCCCCACAGCTCGCACGTCGAGTCAGGCCACGCTGGACTCGATCGACCTGGGACGGTACTCGGAAGACGGCGAGAGACTGGCCGACGAACGGACGGCGCTGCTCGAGTTTGAGCTGCGCAAAGCGCACGACACCATCAAATCACTACGGGCCAACCTGACCGGGGCGACTGGTGAGGAGACTGAAGGGGACGGGGTTGAAATTAAGGGTCGAAAAGCCAGCAGACTGAAGGGGAGAGGGTTGAAATTAAGGGCCGAAAAGCCAGCAGGATTTGGCGGTGTGGACTGTTGTCTGAATGCATTGCAATACGTGACCTCTCGTATTCCTAAGTCGTTGACTGTGACATACCTTATTTCACTTATGTATTTGCGATATATTTCGTTAAGTTTCCTTGTACAGGCGTGGTTTGCGTCGTAAAGGTTGTATCGAGACGTTAAAGGGACCCTCCCACCTTAACATAAGATTTGAGTTGAGATAGCCAAAATGGGGTCCCTGGCTCACAATTACCGGTTTCGGCACTCACAACATCGAGAAATGCCTTAAATCGGAAATATTGAATTTCAAAATTGCAGCATTTTGATTCAGAGGGGCTAATGCTTAGGAATACCCCTCTGAATGTGTGACGTCAGCGCAAATATCTAAGGATTTTTAAATGTTTGACTAAAACGTTTTGTAGCACGCGGTGGTATATGCTATTTGCGCGCAACATCTGCCGCAAACGCCGCTTTTCTAAAATAAAGTCGCTAGAAACAGCGGAGATCCCAAAAAAGTAAACAAAAGTAAAAGTCTAATATCTTGAAAACCGGTGAATATTTTTCGGTGAAATTTGGTAGATATTCGTTTTCGCTCTTTCTGAACCGAGCGACATCACTTTCATGCCAATTCATGAACTTTTTTGAAGGTGGGAGGGTCCCTTTAATATGTGCCATAAGCCATTAAATAATGTCTCAATTTCCTGCCTCGATCTGGCGCATTGTCCGCCGGTGACCTCTCTATGACCTTTCACCCCTTGCGCCCGTCAGAGCTGAACACACCCGACCACGGCGGTGATCGGCCCATCACTGACGATGACCCGATCAAACCGCACGAGAAGCGCGCTCTCAACTTCCTCATCAACGAGTACCTCCTGAGACACGGCTACAAGCTCACGTCGATCGCGTTCTCGGACGAGAACGAGGACCAGGTTAGTGGTCTGATGTAAGCGGAGGACAAAAAGGAATAAGGATAGAGTCGTGTAAGCTAGATATTTTTTTTTTTTTTGTCGTACCACAGTTGTATGTATTGCCTTGCGTGCTCTTGTCAAGCTCACTGTGTTGGTTACCATCATTTCTCTAATCTCTTATCAGAGCTTCTTCTAATTCCACGAGTGTCCTGATACGACATGTGATGCTTGCGAGTTATACGATTTGCATCAAGCGCACTTAACCGTCACGTTCCACGCCTGTGCAGGATGTCGAGGACTGGGACGACGTCGGCCTGAACGTGGCCAAGCCGCCCGACCTGTTGCACTTTTTCCGCGAGGGCGGCAGCCGTCCGTCGGAGCCGCCGGCGCCGCCGCCGGCGCCGCCGCCGCCGCCCACGCCTCCCCCGGGCACCGACTGCGAGTGCCAGACGGAAGAGGACCCCGTGCACGCTCAGCTACAGAACGATATTACCGCGCTCATGGACAAAATCGAGGTGCTCGAGAGGTGAGCTTGTCACTACTGGAACTGAAGGGGTGGGTGGTTTGCTGAGATGACATGACGGGTAGATCAGATTTTTGAAGACTCGTTATTGAGGTAATTAGTAAACATCAACCTTTTTCGTGTTAAAACGTCCACTCTAATGCGTAAAAAGGAAAGTGCGATCCTACGCAAAAACCAGTGCCAGTCAATTGTTCGGTAAACGTACTTTTGTCGGGTAATTGTCGTGTTTAGTCGTAGCAACGAACTTGACATAAGCAGCTGCTTAAACAGGCACCCCTGACTAACCCCTGCGTCTCTGCGCACCGGCAGCCAGCTGAGCGCGGTGCGCTCGTTTGCCGCCGATGCCGCCGCCGCCGCCGATACGGCCGAGAGCGTCATCCACGGCGTCAGCACGGCGTCACCGGCCGCTGACGGCGCCGGCGACTCGACCGCCTCGGGCGACGAGTCGCTGGAGAGCGAGCTCGCCCGTACGGAGAGCCAGAACCGACTGAACACGCTGAAAATGGCCGGGAGAGAGGCGCAGCCGCCGTCACTGGAGAGCAGGTGGGCTCGAGCTGCCGCTGACACGCACAGAGAACGCCGAGCATTGGCAGGCTAAGGGGTGTGTCCATTGTCAGTCTGCCCTATCAGCTACAGTTGGAGCTCCATTTAACTTTTCATATGTCCCTTTTGATTGCACATGATTGTGACTGGTTGTGTGCGCCACAATGGAAACTGTTGGTGTCACTTCCAACCAGAGATGTTACTCCCCCTCTTGGGATTTTCAATCTCTGTCAGTCAGGTACCGGAGGAAACCACTCCGATTCTGACCCCGTTCCCCCCACCCCTCCGTCAGTGCCGTACCGGAGCGTTTCCGACGCGCGGTGCTGGCGGCCTGTATCCACGAACAGTCCGAGGGAGCGGCCGATGAGACCATCGAGCGCCTGCAGCTGGAGGTGGCCCAACTGAGCAGCTCACCCGAGCAGGCGGTGCTCCAGCTGGCCCGCTGTCTGCCGCACATTGTGCCCAACGTCATACTGGCCAAACGGGAGGTGGGAACGATGGTAGACGGCGAATGGCGGGGCTTAGGGTAATGGGAGCGCATCGGGATTTTAGTGTAATGAGTATTTCAAATTTTAATGCATCCAGTTGCCAGCTAGAGTATTTAGCTCGTTTTCAGAACCGATTTTTCAAAGTACTGATTTCTTAAGTGCTGATATTATATAAGCACCGATATTTTACGCGTATATAATTGATGAGTTATGCGAGGGTGTCCATCATCGAGTTATCCGTTTTCAGTATATTTTCCCCCATCCATGGTCAGAGTGCCATTATTGTACTCATCTCCCGTAATTCAGCGCCTGATGCGGCCCTCTTCTCCAGGAGCTGATCCCGCTGCTGTTGTCGGCCATCCAGCTTCACCCAGACGTCCGGCAACGGGACGTGCTACTCAACCTGCTGTTCAACCTCATCAAGCGACCCGACGCCCAGCAGCGCGCTGTCATACTGGCTGGTGAGTCACTGGCCGTCACTGATCCTCACAGCTGGCTAGCTGACTGGTAGTCGCTACTCGCTAGTCGCTAGTGAGTAGCGACTGTCACTGACCTTCACTGGTTATCACTGGTCATCAAAGCCGTCTCCGGAGATTAGTAACATTCAGCCAGCGGTCAGCGACGGTCACTGATCGTCACCCGCTAGATGCCTTCGCTGGCGCACACTGCGTTTGGTGCATACGGCGACGTTCTTTGAATTATCTGATGATGTCTCCCATGATGCTGTTTTCTCTGACAGGGTTCCACTCTCTGGTGTGAGTGTCCCACCTGTTTCCCAATCAGATGATCTATAATTTGGCCTGTCCACCAACCATTTTCTATTTTCTGTGATAGGGTTCCGGTCTCTAGTGGCCCGTCTCTGTCCGGGTCGACTCGAGGAGGAGGTACTGCCGCAGTGTTGGGAACAAATCAGTCACAAGTACTTTGAGCGTCGGCTACTGGTGGCAGAGGCGTGCGCAGTGCTGGCGCCCTTCATACCGGTAAGGGCAGACTCAGGGTGGGTTTCAGTGTGTGATTTTTATGCAATGGATAATCAAAGACAGGCGTGGACCTGACTGACTCTACATGACTTGACCCGACCTTTTTAGTCTCAGCTGCGCGGCTCGCTGGTCGGGTTCATGCTCCACCAAATGGTGACCTGACCTGACCTGACCTGAACTGACTTGTCTTTAACAGCCTGAGCTGCGCGGCTCGCTGGTGTGGTCCATGCTTCACCAAATGGTGACCTGACCTGACCTTTTTAGTCTGAGCTGCGCGGCTCGCTGGTCGGGTTCATGCTCCACCAAATGGTGACCTGACCTGACCTGACCTGAACTGACTTGTCTTTAACAGCCTGAGCTGCGCGGCTCGCTGGTCTGGTCGATGCTGCACCAAATGGTGACGGATGAGAAGGAGGCGGCTGTTCGAGAGGCGGCCATCCGCAGTCTGGCAGTGGTGCTGGTGCATTGTGACGATGACGACAAGTTCTCACAGGTCAGTGGTGCCTACACCAAACGAGTGGGACCCAAGGCTTGGGCTTGCTTATGCTTGTGGAAGAGGGAGGTTCATCGCTTTTACTTACTGCCTTTATCACAAACTGCCGGAACCTGTTGTGTTGATCAGCGTAACTTTAAGAGCGAACTGATGGAAACTGATTGATTACGCCTACCGTCTCACATCACTATTTTTTTTTAATGAAAGCTGTCCATTCACTTCCCTCCCCAACCGTTTAACCTAACCTGCCCTCCTCACCCCACCCTCACAGTCCCCCCTCCTCAGCCGTGTAACCGGCCAACTCCCGCCCCTCGGCAGGCCTGGGAGCTGACGGCTCGGCTGCTCGAGGACCGCTGTGAGCCGGTGCAGCGGTCGGCCGCCGAACTCCTGCTGCCCGTCGTGGCTCGCTGGGCCTCTCAGCTGGGGCGGCTCTCCGACCGACTGGTACCGCACGCGCTCAACGCCGCACGACAGGCCGCTCAGGTGGGTTGTTTGTTTGATTATTAGGGCTTAGGGCGCGTCGGCTTAGGTGTGTTCTGCAACGGCCGCTGGGTTGTAGGGGAGGGATTAGTGTGTGTGTAGGCAGTAATCTGTTGACTCTGTCCACGGTGTGTGGCTGAGGTTGCCTGTTATAGCCGTGTGTGAGCCGTGTTAGGAGTCTCCGGATTATTTCATTTACAGTGTGAGCTGGGAGTCGTCTGATGAGCATATGTACGGTGTGTGTTCTCAGTAGCATTTTATTACATAAGTTTGCTTATGTTCGGAATGGATTAACCTGTTCCCGATTTGTGCTCCGAGTAACCTTTTGACAGTATTGACGTTCTGTCTTCGAACTCTTCTGTCACCTAAGCTTCCAGCAGTCACGTGTACCCCGATGACCATGTGTGTGTTACTTCACATCGTCAGTCGGCCGACTGGACGGTGGCCGTCTGTATCGTGTATGATGTGCGTGCTCTCAGTTTGTCCGGCTGAATGTGTGTACCGTGTACTGTTTGACAGCGCCAGCCGGCCGACTGGACGGTGTCCGTGTGGATCCAGGTCCTCATGACCCTCCTGGACCAGGCCTTCCTCTGGGTGGTCTCGGCCGGCCCGCACCTGGACAGGGTGGAAAACGACTCCATGGGCATCACGTGTAAGTCACAGCCAAACGCTCTGACGTAGTAACGAATAATGTAGACCGCGGTATCCGCTCACGCGTAACTTGTGTCACAGGATGCGGCGTATGAAAACTGATTCGCCCAGCAGTTTGTATTTTCCAGCAGCATGATTCTCAATGTGTGATCCATTTCACGGTTTTGCGTTCATCCCTGAAAGCCTGGATGGATGATAATTTATTTCTGGAATACCGCTGAATGTATATATTTATACTTGCTCTCACCCGAAATAGTACCATTCATTGGTTGTTCATCAGTGTCTCATCACGTCCATCCCCATCTCCCCGTCTCCCGCACCAGACCGTGACCAGACCTCCCCCTCCCGGTGCCCACAGCGGACCGGCTGCCGTCTCAGGAGGGCCCTCTGTCTGACCTGGAGGTACTGCACGGAGACGGCCGGCGACTGCGGCATATGGTGGCAGCATTCGACGAGTATGTCACCCAGGAGTGGTACCGCGTCTGGCCGGCCCTGGAGTGGCTCACCAATGAGTGGTAAGGACTAGGGAGCCCGGGAGGGGGACAGGTCTGGTTGTATGTCACCCAGGAGTGGTACCGCGTCTGGCCGGCTCTGGAGTGGCTCACCAATGAGTGGTAAGGACTAGGGAGCCCGGGAGGGGGACAGGTCTGGTTATATGTCACCCAGGAGTGGTACCGCGTCTGGCCGGCTCTGGAGTGGCTCACCAATGAGTGGTAAGGACTAGGGAGCCCGGGAGGGGGACAGGTCTGGTTGTATGTCACCCAGGAGTGGTACCGCGTCTGGCCGGCTCTGGAGTGGCTCACCAATGAGTGGTAAGGACTAGGGAGCCCGGGAGGGGGACAGGTCTGGTTATATGTCACCCAGGAGTGGTACCGCGTCTGGCCGGCTCTGGAGTGGCTCACCAATGAGTGGTAAGGACTAGGGAGCCCGGGAGGGGGACAGGTCTGGTTGTATGTCACCCAGGAGTGGTACCGCGTCTGGCCGGCTCTGGAGTGGCTTACAAACGAATGGTGAGAAATGAAAGTAAGGGTACCCGCAGAAAAGTAAAAAGTAGCACCCGAGGCTAGAGGATGGGCAATTATAGTGAGTGAGGTCGGAGTGATGCGGAGTGAGTTTTGAGTGTATATAGTAGTCATTAGTGATTAATTTATGATAAGGTGACGGTGAAAAGAGGGAGTGACTAGGACATTGATGTCTATCCGTGGCTTGTCGCGATCAGTTATAGTGTTATAGTACATCTTGTTATACTTGTCTCTGATATAACGTGTCGTGACATGTCATGAACATTGAACGTGAACTACGCGACGTGTTACGTGACGGTGCCCCTCGTCCTCCGTCAGCGTTCCGGAGCTGTTCCGGCTGGCCGAGGTGCTGCCGCTCTCCTTCCCTGACGCGGTGTATGAAATGGCCGCCCTGCTGCGGCATACGGCGCACCTGGTCGGGCCCACCATCGCCGATTCTAAGGTACGGGCGGAAGGGAGTGCTGGCAAGTACACATCTGGTCGGACCCACCATAGCCGATTCTAAGGTACGGGCGGAAGGGAGTGCTGGCAAGTACACATCTGGTCGGGCCCACCATAGCCGATTCTAAGGTACGGGCGGAAGGGAGCGCTGGCAAGTACACATCTGGTTGGGCCCACCATAGCCGATTCCAAGGTACGGGCGGAAGGGAGGGCTGGCAAGTACACATCTGGTCGGACCCACCACAGCCGATTCTAAGGTATGGGCGGAAGGGAGGGCTGGCAAGTACACATCTGGTCGGACCCACCACAGCCGATTCTAAGGTATGGGCGGAAGGGAGGGCTGGCAAGTACACATCTGGTCGGACCCACCATAGCCGATTCCAAGGTATGGGCGGAAGGGAGGGCTGGCAAGTACACATCTGGTCGGACCCACCATAGCCGATTCTAAGGTACGGGAGAAATAATACCGTGATTATCAATGTCCCAACAGCGCACCACGTCCTGGTCAGACGCACTATCGCGGAATCACTGAGATGCGATGATGTTCCTACGAGAGATTCTACGAGGATACTTCTTCGCGAAATTCGCCGTTCTTTTTCTCAGTTTTACTTTATTTCTGTGTATTTTTTGCCTCCTCAGTGGTTCCAGGTGATTTGGCTAATTTTATCGTGCACTAAGGTAGCATATGATGCATGTTCCATCTACCACGGTCAGAATGGTTAACCACGAGCACTATTTGTATCCCACGTACCGCCTCCCTCCCTGCCGCTCCAGCTGTGGCCGTGCTGTGAGTCGCGTCTGCGCGGCGCGGCCGCCGCTGACGCCCCGCCGCCGGGCCTCACCTCTGCACTACTGCCGGCCGTGTGCGCCGGACTGCTGGCGGCACCCCTACCGGACGCCGACGCCCGGCTGGCGCGTACCCTCGAGGACGCTCTCTACCTCAGCGCTGCCTGCCGGCTGACAGGCGAACCTCTAGCGGCGGCCGTGCGGCTGCTACTGGAGTATCCGGAGCGGCACGCAGCGCTGCTGGACCTCCTGTGGAAGGGTGAGCAGATGGGGCGGGGGAGGGATGAAGCAGGATGTAACGATAATGAGGGTGATAATGGGAGTTGTTACTTATGAAGACTTTGGTGGTGGATTCCGGAGAGGGATCCAGCAAGACTAGTCGTTTTTGTGTGATCAGTCATGCAACTGGTTTTCATATGTTATTTAATTGCATGCGACGATATGATCCACTATATAGACTTTTGCTTACAACTGACGCTTTGAACTGGTCCCAATATTCAAGCCATAATTATAAAGCTTGTATCCTGCTCGTCTCGCCCCCAGGTGTGATGCACTCGGTGGTCGAGGTGCGGGAGACGACCGCCCAGCTGGCCGGCATGCTGGTCCCCGAGGTGCCCGAGACCGTACTGACGGCCCGCGTGCTGCCGGCGCTGGTCACACTGGCGTCCGACCCGCAACAGTGAGTAAGGCGCAATGTTGGAATTGTCGTTTTCGGTCCTGGTCACGGATGATAAAATCGGTCCGGAGAATTGGCCAGCGTTTACAACAGCCAACAGGAAAATCAAATGTTTGGCCTGCTAAATGTAATAGCCGATTAACTGTGTCCCTCTCGAGTCTCGATGCTATTTCTGCATATTTTTGGTGTAATAATAGCAGCAGTTTTTTATCACAAAGGCTGGGAAATTTAGAAGATTTCAGGTGCCAGAGTATAAATTTGTAGAGGAGAACAAAATCTTTTGAATCCGACGGGGACCAGCAAAGGGTCTTATTTCCAACATTGGTAAGGCGGCACCGCCCCAAGGGCTGCGGAGTCAGAGTTGGAGTATGCCAGGAGTCGGAGTCGCAGGAAAGCCATCCCCTGGGGTCGAAATGACTGATGACGGTTGAATGACTGCTTCGGGTGGTACCTACTGCGAACATCAAATTGATGTGCTGGGATGAAGTAAACACAGCGATCCACCGTTGAAGGTAGCCCATGTTCTCAGTAATGGCGTTACTGTGTTGATGCGTTGCGTGTGGCTTGGTTCAAGAACCAAGGTGCAGAATGTTGATGTTTTCATCCATGATACGTGTCAGGCGAAAAGACTGGCCAGTGTGGGGGTCGAACCCACGACATTCGCGTTATTAGCACGACGCTCTAACCAACTGAGCTAACCGGCCGGCGGCGCTTTTCCGCTGTATTTTTATGTATCATAGAAGAAAGGTACCATTTGCTTCCCAAATTTTATTATAATTATTTTCAGTGCACTTTTGGTCTCTTTTTCTCAGCGACTTATGACTGTTTACCACTCCTAGCACGAGTTCTAAGCTCAAGCTTTCACCACAGTCATTCGCTCGCAGCTTGACCGAGTGCGCGCCCGCCGAAAAATCACAGTGACCCTTGACCTCGCAGCCCAAGAGCCTACTTCCTTCCACAGCGAGTCTCACCACCTATCTCTGCCCACAGCGCCCACCATATCCCTCCCCAGTACCCGTCCGTCTGACTGTTTCGTCTCCTCGCCAGGCTGGTGCGGCGCGCGGTGGTGCCGGCCCTGGGCCTGGTGCTGGAGACCCAGCCGGGCCGGGAGCCGTCTGAGAAGGCCCGTCTGCAGGTGACGGCGCTGTGCCAGGACGCGGCGCTGGCCGGCCCGCTGGCGGCCGCGCTGGGCCGCGCCGCCGCCGCCGGCCGGCACACCGAGTTCTGCCTGTCGCGGCTGGCAGAGCTGTCGGCGCGCCGCGCGCCCGCCGACGCGCCCACCCTGCTGGACGCCTACACGGCGCTGGCCTGCGGGCATGTGGCCGGGGAGGCCGTCAGCAGGGACATCCTGCCGGCGCTCAGGTCGGTCATATGTCTGCTTCACTCTGGTAAACACTACTTCTTATTGCTATATTAATTGTAACTAGGCTCATTTCGTTGGCAATTGAGTAAGCTGACAATCAGCTTTGTGTTTAGGCTTTCGCTTTAGGTTTTTGTTTCGTACTTTGTTCTCCATCGTGCATGTGATAACGAAGGGTAGAAATCACAGAATGAAGCAAATCTACCTGCGGTGCCTTTAATTTTCGATTAAAGTCATCATCGATGCACCGGACTCGGGTAAGGTCGGTGGTGGTTCTGTGGTGCCATTTGCAACAAGCACTGCTTAGCGGGCCACCCTGGCGCGTTTTTCATTATTTGAATTTTACCAAGTGCCAACGAGTTGACATGCTACCCAGCGCCTCCTCTTCGTTGACGTCATATTTAGCTATCCGACGCGAGGGTATATTGAGTCCGACGCAAGCATGCGTCCAGGAGACCAGGTTTGATTTGAACATTATTGAGCACTTGATGCGCGAGGAAGTCGCCGTGGCTGACAAGGCATAGATATCTAATGCGCAGAGGCATATAGATCTTATGTCATATAAATAGCTCTATGTGGTCAGGGTCACGGACTTGTACGGTGAGATCGGTGGATCGAAATTCGAATCACATTAACATGTTGGCTACTCAATGTCGTTCACGTTCGCAACGGTGTGCGGCTGTGCGCCTGAGAAATTCAGGGTAAGTATTTATCCAATGAAGGAATATGTTGCAAAAGAAAAGGTTGCACCATGTAACCGAATTACCAGTTCTGTTACCTACGGCTCTATCGATATACCCAATCCATGGTCAACTGTCAAGCCTTGGGGCTTGGGCCAAATTGTCAAACCCAAGTCCAAGATTCCTTTACCCCAAGCCATTGAGTAAAGGCTTTCCTTTACCTGGATTTGGTAGCAATAGTTTGGATTCTCGTAAGCGGCGACAGATATTGCGCGAATGTTTCGTTTAGCTTGGTGTGTGTTTGGCGCGCGCTTGTGGGTCTATCGCTGGTTGTATTTACACTGTGTATTTGAGCAAGATACCTATATTTGAGCGTCCTATTCAGCATTGGGGGTACTACGGATTGTGCGTTGAGTTATGTGATTGACATTTGACAATGGAGTTGCTGCGCTCTGATCTTTTCAAAACTGGTGAATTTGACAACATCATCATCAACTTCACTGAAAGCGAGGTTCTCTGCAGAACGAACGTCAACAATGAAGAAGAACTTGCAACTTGGAAAGAGCTCTTCTGTCGTGCTTCACAGACCTCACTGAATGTAGTATACACTAGACATCCAAGTGGTGAACGTATATTTTTCAGTCAGAAGCTGGTGTGTCAGTTTGCTGTCAAAAGACACAAGGGGGTGAAGAAGCACAGCACAGGGTGAGTTAACTGGGTAATGGTGGGGCAGGGGCAAGGCTATATAAACCAGGTAGAACGCTCCCGAAGAAAAAGTGGTGACAAGCAATATTTAGTTGCCGCGACCCTCACTTGTTCAAGACTATATCCGCAAGCAGCATTTACAAGCTAGCGGAAATCGACCAATCGGCGTTCGGCAATACTCAACGCTGATTGGCCCGATGCTCGTGACGAAATTGCGGGGGACTGCAGCTACTCCCCTATGGCGTTTCATTGACTTATGACTTTTGAAGGGGATTTGTATAAGTTTTTGTTGGGTTTGAGGCCATTTTTGAGCTTGGATATTCTTTCCGTGACCTTTGACTATATAATAACGACATTTAATCATGACATTTCTATATACTACCGGTGTCACATCGGCCAAAAAGACCGTAAGTACATGGGATAGACGGACCACTGCTGATGGGGCCACACATGCCGGCGTGTGGTCATCGGAGGCCCATGAGGGCTCGACATGGGTCCTTTATGGGTCGATATAGGCCCAGTGGGTCCAGTGCAGGCCTACCAGGGGCCGGTGGCATATAATGTAAGGCTGTCTCGGGACGAATTGAGGGCTCATGGGGGCCATATAGGACCATTAGGGACAACATAAGCCAATCAGGGGTCCATTTAGGCCAATAAAGGCGCTTCAGGGACTTGAAGAGGCCATTCAAGAGCCGTGGTGGGCCCATGAGGGGACGGCATTGGTCCATCAGGTGCAGTCAGGGGATGTTGTACGGGTTTCTCAGTGACCCATTTGGGCATATCAGTGACCAATTTAGACCCAGCAGGGGGCTTTGTAGACCTAACAGGGGCTGGTGATGGTTTATCGGAGGCCAGCGTTAGTCCATCGGGGCATGGCATGCCCATCAGGGGTAATTGCGGGCCCACGCTGAACAATGATGGCCCTTCAACGGCCCCTAATGGATCTAGATTGACCCATGTTCCATGATGTGTCATGTATGCCCCTATGGCAGGCCTACTCAGACCCCTGATGGACGTTCCCGGCCTCTGATGACCCTATACTGAATCCTGGTGGGGCTCTAAGAGTCTCCAATAACCCTTCTTCAGCCCATTATTACCATACGCTGGCACTAAAGGCCCCACATCAGCCGCAGGGCAGTCCGTGCCAATTGACAGCATGTCTTTTCGGCCGATATTACATCGGTAATATTAATTAAAATCATGATTTTATGGTGCCATTATATAGCTAACAGTCATAAGAAATATATTTCAACTCGAAAACAGCTCGAAACAGCATATAATCTTAAAGAAACCCCTCTGAAATCCAAAAGCCTATTCGGGTCCATAGAGAATAACTGCGGTCCCCCGCAATTTCGTCACGAGCGTCGGGCCAATCAGCGTCGAGCACTGCCGAGCGCTGATTGGTGGATTTTCCGCTAGCGCTTGAGTGCTGCTCGCGGAACAAGAGTTCGTCGACAATCCTCCACAAACGTCTGTCACCACTTTTCGTAATGCTAAACAGCCGGAGCGTACCCCCCTGGGCAGGGGTAACGGTGGGGCAGGCGTCACCAACAGCTTCCTGTTTCAACAGCCAAGGTTGATGCATTATTAGGGCCCAAATGCATAAAACATTTACGCGAGATTACCCATAATGCTCTGACACGTTTTTTATATAAATTTAGTCAGAACCTTTTGATAGGAAGGATTCACAAGGAACGGAGCCACTGCTAAGCGAGGCTTGTTGCGGTGACCTTGGCCTCTACCCTCCGATCGCGCAATTCCAGTTGTATGGCAGAATTTAGAGTCCAAAGTTTAATGTGCGCACATAGCCGCGCACGGCAGGTCCCCTCACTGACTTCGCCTGGCTACAGCCTGCCACCAACTGCAACCATACCTGTCAGGAGGCCCATAATTGTCAAGCGCCCGTCGAACCCGGACTGTTATAACCGGGAACGCATGCTCTCACCACGCGGAGTCCAACGCTCTACCGACTGAGCTACGTTACCGGCGGTAGAGCGGTAGAGTATATGTAAATCAAGAAGAAATTACAGCTAAACTTACCATGATCAATATTTTTTTCTATATACATCTCCATATAAAATCAGCCTATTTTCTGAAACACAATCTTTTGTTTAACCCGCGCCCCGCTGGGGGTCCTCGATTTCCACGCCCTGCTGGGGGGAGGGTGTTTGAACACCCCCCCCCTTCTAACTCGGCTCCTGGGGCACGTAGGGATACGCGGAAGGCGGCGTTCGAATGAGCGCCAAAAATAATGACGAAATTACTTCGGTCACTTTTTTGGTCAGGTCTAAGGTCAGGTCACCAGAGGTCATTCAAGGCAAAATTACGACGATTTTCAGGTCGAATGTCGACAATTTCCAAGAAGCCAACGCATAGCTCGGGAACCAATTGAGCCACAGCACCGCGGAAAAGCGCATTCGATAGCCCTATTAATGCCCTCACTGAGTTATTCTCTCATATTTGACCTAACGTCAATGGTTTTGCCTGCAGACTGCAGAGGGCAAAAACTGCCAATATAGCCGATTTTTTCGGAAACAGCTTTTCTTCAATAACGTTTGACTCAAGCCTTGCACGGGCTTACTTTTACCGGCATCGTGTTCCTCTCGTCAAGACGCATCGAATGAACTATAACTTCACCTTGAAAGGCCAACTGGAATTTTGACCTCAGGTCAAGGTCATGACTTGACCGGTAACAGTCATGTTGCATATCAGTCGATCCGTATCGTCGAACCGAACACAATTTAGGCGTTTTCATCGCTCTAGCATGCCTCTATCAAAAGTTATTCGCGAAAAACTGTTAGTTACTATTTGTGACCTGAGATGACCTCAGAGGCATAAACAGGGGTCACGGACACAATTTTCATATTCAGTTTGTCTAAGTTACTTGTAATTTAGTGTTTGGAAGTGTGTATAATGGCTTTCGTCCAAAAGAGACGCATTTCAGTTTTCTCCCATTGACTTGTAGGTAATGGGAGGTCGCAAAATTGATCTGACCTTAGATCATCGATACCCAAATTCTGAGATATGCATTTTGTACATACTATTGCTTTTAGCAATCGCTGATAGTTTCAAAGCGATCGGTCACTCGATGTAGCTATTGCAGGCATTGAAACTTTCATGAGGTGAGGTCACTTGAAGTGACCTGGTGACCTGACTTTCAGTGACGTTGGTCTGAAATTTTCACTACATGTGTATCATTGGTGTATAATATCTGCGCCGTCGTTTTGTTCGCCGGGATCGGTCGCTTTTTCGGCCAGTTTTTCGCGAAAAGACCGAGGGGGTCCGTAATTCGCCCCTCCCTCCCCCCGTATAAGACGAGGGTTATGTGTAGGCTCATTTTTTCTCATAAAGACCAGCTTTAGAATTTGACCTTGATTGACTTGGCCTTGACCAACTAATTAAGTATGAATAACATGTTCCATAAAACGTGTGTAGTTTACATCATATTTAATAGTTGGTTCATATTGGTCTTTGGTGCGCTATACTAACCCTGACATTGAACTTTGCATGACATTTTGTGTACCGCGTTTTGCCTATGTGGCATAAACATGTTCTCTGGGCAATCAACATCAGTCAATGCTTTGCCATGCTCCAAAGTCCAAATGACATTTTGACCT